CGTGGTGCTGCCCTGCAGCTTCTCCCCGGGGCAGAATGCACAGGACACGGAGGTGACCTGGTTTCGGGAGCAGTTCTCGCCCTTTGTGCATCGCTACAAGTTGGGCCAGGACCAGTTTGGGGAGCAGATGGTTCAGTACCAAGGGCGCACTGAGCTGGGGAAGGACGGCCTTGCCAAGGGCAGCGCGGACTTGAGGATCTTCCATGTCCAACTCTCTGACACAGGGAATTACACCTGCTTTGTTCGCCGTGGCTCAGATTACGACGAGGCTGTGGTGGAGCTCAAGGTTACAGGTCTGTAGTTTGTGTCCCTGGTACCTCTAATTTACCTGCTCATAGCGAATTCTCTGTCCTTCTGCCAGAAACAGTCCCACTAAGTCCCCTTGTTGAAAATACCAAGAATGTTTCATAGAGGTAAAACTGCCCACTGAGCAGCCATGAGGAGCTCATAAGATGCTTCCTCCTTCAAAATGTTCTTGGTATTGCTCCACCACAGCAGTACTTGTTTTTGAACTCTTGTTCTTTGGGAATGAACAAATCTTGGAGACTTTTTCTCCCTGGGGATGCGTTACCTTTCTCCTGGTGATGCTGCTCTGCACTGGAGTGTTGCTGTTGATGCACATGTCACCCTATTTGTGATCCCATGTAGCCTAAGGAAATCCGATATTTGGGTTTTTCCCAAAGGAAAAGCAAACATGATTTAACCAGAAAGAATTTGATTAAAAATCCATCTTCCCTTTAAAAATACTCCACAGTGCAGAGAATTTTCATCAGCATCAGACAAGTGTGAAATTGCCTAAAAGGTTTGATTTTTTTTTTAATGTCATTTTTTATCCATTTGTGGAGCAGAGTCATGAGGTGTTTTTCACCCTCAGCGCCAGTAAATGTAATGACCTTGTATGAAATAGAAATCATTTCCTTCGTATTGCTACTCACAAAGTAATCTCCCCTTTGGGGATTTAATTTTTCAGATCCCTTTCTACGAAGTATCTATCCTTGGATTATTGCCCTGGTTGCTGTGGTCCTGGTTGCTGTGGTCACTCTAATTAGTTTTGCAGTTTTTCTACTTAAAATTAAAGGTACCATCCTGGGTTTGGGGGCTGGGGAAGGGGTTGGGCAGCCATCCTACTCAGCCACCTCTAGTCCTGAGGGATGAGGGGGTTGAGAAACACCAGGATGGAACCAGAGTCTTGTCCTGGTGTCTCAGGCACATGTTTGGTGCCCGTGAACTTGAAAACCCAATGGCCTTAACTTCTGTCAGAGAAGAAAAGAAAGCT